TGATATACCTCAAATGTAAATGCAATCTATCAAATTCCTAAAATTCCTTAATTCAGTCTATAAAACCCTTCACTGAAATCAGAATACCAAAAATCCCAGCACTCATATCACCAGTTCAAGATCAGCATGGCTTACATATCAAGTTCTAGACTAGCCAGAGCTTCATAGTCAGACTTTGTGTAACCAGAGCAACGAAAACAACTAACAAAACCAACACCCTTCCTTGAGAGTCAGGTATATCTGGAGAATCTTCCTAAACACACCTCATTTATCAAATTGTTCCAGGTTTTTCAATTCTGTCTATATTATTCACACTGCAGAAAGCTGGTTCTAGGACATGAGGCCCCTCCACCATGAACACGAAAATCCACAAACATTCAAGTCTCTTATATAAAATAATATTTGCATATAACCTATATCTACCAGCATTTTCTTCCACATACTTTAATTTCTAGGTGACCTGTAATATTCTGCAAATAGTTGCTAAACTGTATTTTCTAGGGAATGACAAGCAAAAAATTGTCTGTACATGTTAAGTATTGATGGAACTATTTTCCCAAATATTTTTGATCTGAGATTGGTTGAATCTGTCAATGTGGAACCTGTGGATATGAAGGGCCTACCGTACTGAATTTACAGAAGAAAAAGAGTAACAGTATACACTGATTAACAAACACTATTCTGGGACTGCAGAGATGGCTCAGTGGTTAAGAGCCCTGGCCGCTCTTGCAGAAGACTGGGGTTTGGTTCCCAGTACCCACATGGCCTCTAACAACTGTCCAAAGCTCGAGTTTCAGGGGATCAGATGCCCTCCCTTCTGGCCTCTGTGGGCATTGCACACATGTGGTGCACTTACATACATTCAGACAAAACACGCATACATAAAATTTCTCTAAAAATTCATTACTCATGATCCCCTTCATTGATGATGGGCTTTCCTGCCTGGAGTTGTAGCTTAAGCCTGCAGCTTCCTCACAGAACACCCATCCTGTAACTTTTCTGCATTCCTGTTTGTCTCAAGAGTAGAAGAGCTGGGACTGGAGAGACGGCTCAGCAGTTAAGAGCACTGGCTGCTCTGGCAGAGGACCTGGGTTGGTTCCCAGCCCACATATGACAGCTAACAGCCCATATATGACAGCTAACAACTTTTGGTAACTCCAGTTACAGGGAATTTGATGCCCTCTTCTGGCATCCATATGCATGGCACCACCGGCACTTACATACATGCAGGCAAAACACACATAAAATTAAAAAAAAAAAAAAAAACACTATTCTGGACAATTTATAAACATTAACTTAACCCTTCCAACAATCTTGTACATATTATCATCCTCTATTTCATTTCTTTTGTCTTTTAAAGAAAAGATATGGAACAGGCTGGCTTCTCATTCATAATCCTCCTGCCTCTGCCCCCAAAGTGCTTGCATTATAGCACCATACCTAGCTGTATTCTCGACTTTATAAGTGAGGAAACTGAAACACAAAGATTATATAAACTGCCTAAATCTGTTATGAAGATGAGCTGGATATAAATAAATGCATTGAAGTCTGATTGCAGAGTCTGGACCCCCCCCCCAAACAGCCACAGCTGGCCTGGATTTTACTATGTAGACCAGGTTGGCATTGATCTCACAGAGACCTAGCTGCCTCTTTCTCCTGAGTGCTGGAATTAAAAGTGTGCTAAACCATGCTGGATCCCAAAGTCTGGACTATTAAAACCACCTCAATATCCCACACCTCTCAAAACAGAAGAAATGAAGGAAGACAGTTTCTTTACTTACTTAAGGCACACATACAATGAACAGCTTCAGCTTTGTTTAACCAACACACACTCAGATGATTCATCTATCCTGCAGCTTCATTCGAATAAAGCAAGAATGATTTGCCAGCACTCATCCATTTGACACATGCTCAGTGAATAGACAGAAAACAGCCCTTTGGTCCCCAAAAGTTTCTAAACTAGCTGGGAAGGCTAGTTAATAAAGAAACATAGGAGCTGGAGAGGTGGCTCAGTGGTTAAGAGCACTGGTTGCTCTTCCAGAGGACTTGGGTTCGATGTTCAGCACCCACATGGTGGCCAGTTCCAGGGGATCCAACGTCTTCTTCTAAACTATGAAGGTACTGCGTGCAGGTGATGCACTTACATACATGCAGGCAGAAGAGGGCATTGGATTCCCTGGAACTGAAGTTATGAATGGTTGTTAGCCACTGGCTGCTGGGATTTGAACCCAGATCTTCTGCACTAATAGCCAGTACTCTTAACCACTGAGCCATCTCTCCAGCCCCTAAATTATTTTTTGTTTGTTCTTTGAGGCAGGGTCTCCCTATAGCCCCAGCGGGCCTGGAACTTATTATGTAGACCAGGCTGGTCTTGAACTCAAGGGATCCGCCTGCCTCTGCCTCCTGAGTGGTGGGAGGCATGTGTTACCATGCCCAGCCCACTAATTCATTTTCTATCATAATGAATTACCAAATGTCTACCAACGACCAGGCACAATGTAGTAGGGTTCTAGAACTGAAGAGAGAATTTTCTGCCCAAAACAACCAAGTCTTCCACCTACTACTATGATCACTTGACAGGCTGCTCACAACAATCCTGATCTGGTGGGCA